GAATGAACATCCACATTTGGGCATCTTTTGGATGATACCACATCCCACACCATCGGGAATGCAGGTGTATGCCGCATTGGTGTATCCGAGATTTCAATTTCTCTGTCGTTCGTCAGTAAATTGGTATAGCCTTCGATCTCCACGTTGACCAGGACGACCACGACGACAAGGACGGCAGGGAGAACGCCGACAGACGACCAAGAGACCACCAGAGACCACTAAGAGACCACCAAGAGCCACGACACCAGGAGACAAATAAGAGACCGCACACAGACCACCAGCAGATCGCCAGGACACCATCCAGACGACCAGGACGGCTACGACGACGAGGACCACCACACTGCTGGACAGCATCTAAGGAATAGAACGCCTGCGTGTGTAAAGCTTGGAAAATTGAAAGTACTACGTACGTGAACATGATATGTTGTGAAGGTGTGGTTTGAGCTAAGATTGTAACTGCAAGAACTGGTCCCACCCTGAGACTTTGCGCTTTGGGACACGGCCACAACTGTCTGTTGAAACTCATCTTGATCAGAATCATGGGTGCAGTGCACAGGGGAAATGCAAAAACCAAGGAGTCGGGCCAAGCCTTGTGAAGGTATGAATATATTACTCGAATTCTCGCACCCTTTCATCTATTCTTGCAGGCATCGGCGCAGTGTGAAGTCGGCCCATCGCCCATCATCGGAGCGCACACTTTGCTTCTCCACTGGACGTCCGAGACTACATTTCTGAGTGTGAGCCGCCTCATGTGGCGTTGCAGCTTATTCGTAGTCTACCCACTCTTGTTGTGATTGTATGATTAATTGGACTGTCCAGCTATCGTGCAGGCTGCCAGATCGTTTGGCGTTGTAGATCTTGCCAGGAATCACAGCGCAGCTTCGACGGGGAAAGGTGTCGGCGCGCGTGCTTTGGACATGTGCTGCCCATCTTGCATCGATGGTACGGTAGATGCAGAGATGCACACCGACTTGTGCGGTCCAGTTCAGGGTTGATGCTGTAGGGCTCAAAGGACAGCCCTCTTACACTCTTGCGCATCCACCCTCTTGCCTGAGGCTGCCATGTCGCCCTGTTGTATTCTGGCACTCACATGTTTCTTTTCTATCATTCCCTCGGCCTGGCAGATGAGGCCCTCGCAGTCAAAAAAAGAATCGCTGATCAACCTAAAGTTGGCCTTGTTTCCAATGGATTGCGCGGACGGAAAAAGTGCCTTCGACTTGGTGACGCGTACTTGCCAAGATTGCAGGGACAGGCACCTCGATTGTTTTGTTCCAGGTCCGGCGTTTCAGCCCGGGCTCTCCAAAAGCATACAAAGGAAGCTGTGGCTGCTGCGGTGGCGGCATCGTTTAGGATTAGCGTTGCAGGAGGTCCCTCCCATGGTTGGCCATGCAAAGCTCGAAGCGCCAGACTATGCGTTTCAGTGTCCACCTCCGGCTGAAATACGCTGCAACGTCAGTGCCCAAAAGTCCAATTATAAGTCCAAAGGATGCAGTTTCGGATATTCTGGTCCCCTGTGCATGGCATGTGAGACTGGTTTCTATTCTAAGGCCGGATATTGTGCACCGTGCTCGGTGCCTTCCAATACTCTACCCGTGCTTGGCATACTTCTCGCGCTGGTGAGCATACTATACTGCTGTTGTTCTTGCTCTTCACGCAGGACAGATGGCACATCCGAGGCTGGTCGGGGTGCCAGTTTCCGCCTAGAGTTGCTTTCGTTACAAGCTCCATTCCTGCTACACATGGTTCAGCTCTGGCTGGTAGTGGTCGCTGGCCTTCGAAGAGAGCGCGGCCGTGGCGCTGGCACAACTGCATCGCCTGTCGTGGACTGGGATTCTGAGTTCTACCAGTGGTTTATGCGGTTCATGCTATATGTCTGCCGAGGGATTCCTCCACTGAGTTCTCTGCTGCTGACAGCACACGAGCTAGAGTGGATGATCAATGTGCAGTGCAGTGTTGGTAGCATCTTAGGGCGCAGCATCGCGGCCATCATTTCACCTGTGCTCCCCTTGGTTTTGTTGCTGGCCTGTGGCATCCTAGAGCTGGCGTGGCCTAGCGCAGGCATTGGTCTGGCATTGAAGCTTATATCATTGCTCTTCATAGGAGGGGCCTTTAGTTGTTACCAGTTGGTCGTCTATCAGGCCTTTGATGGCGCAGGAGAGCCGCTTGGAAGCCAAGCTTTCTCGAAACTTTTTCCAGACCTGGGGAACTCTGAGGCCTTGCAATCCGTAATCATTACCGTAATCTGGCAAGTACATCTTGTGGCAGCATTGGCATACACCATCATCATCCCTTGCTTCCTGCTACGTGTCATGGCCAGGCAGCATGTCGCTCTGCAGGACACCCGGCTGTTTGTTGCTTGCTCTGCATCAGATGGAGGCAACACCCAGATATTGCGGCTTCAGCCGCTGGGTGTTCTGCCGCTGCTCAAGAAGGATGACGGAGCAGATCGGCATTTGCTGGCAGCTGCGGTGGCCCACATGGTTGTCCACATGCATGGTCCGGTGAAGGTGGAGCTGGTGCAGGATGCAATCCACGTGACGCCTCTGGAAGACGCGCAATCTACAACGCTCGAATCGCATGACTTTGGGACTCTGTTGGCATCGCGGCTGGTGCCCAAGCATAAGTTGGATGTGCAGCGTGCCAGGAACATTCAGCAGATGCTCAGCGAGCGCGGTGTGCTGGAGAGCACCGCCGATCCCCTTTTGATAGGTGCCAAGACGCTCCTGTCCAAGTATGCACTCGGCGGGAAAGTTTGGATGGAGGTTGCCATGAAGCTCTACATAGTGTCTTTGATCTGTGTCAGTGGCACCGAGCGTGGTCTGCAATTCACTGTGGTCTACACACTCTCCATGGCATCAGTTGTGGGTCTGGTGTCTCCATATTTTCTACCTCAGCTGAATCTCCTGAGCAGCTTCTGTTTTGTGTGCCTTGCCATAACCGCTCTCGGCGTAGATCGGGCTTGGGAGTTTGTCGCTCGTGCAGCCCTTGTCGCTCCGTTTTTACTATGTGTGTACCAGGCGCTTCGGCCAAGCAGCCCCGAGTACAAGGCCTTGAAGCTCATCACTACACTGACAACACAACTGAGTAAGCTTCAACAAGGAGCACCGGTTCGGATCAATGTGTTCACTGCTGCTTTGGTTTGAGAATGCTTGAGAAGTGCTTTCCCAAAGCAGATGATTCGAAGATGTATTCACGGCTGCATTCATCGCAGACCTTGAGGCGTCTACTACCCTGTAGACAAGTAGCGATGCCATTGTGTTTCTGGCAGAAGTTCCTTCTCTCGTGAGGCAACAACCAGAAAGATCTGTGTTGATGTCGACCATTCCTCAAGCAGTGCTTGCACCATAGGGATCACAATGAAACCCTAAACCCTAGAATCCTAGAGCCTGTATACTCATAATAAGTAATAACCCCCTGCAAGAACCCTTACAGGAAGCCTGTTCTGAATGGTGAGGCCCCAATTTACAGCCAAAACTCGACACCATCAGCTCTCGCAGGAACTTCCCAAACACCACCCATCCTAGTCCTTAAACCCTCAACCCCACTAATTCAGGGGCCTGAAGTATGAGAAATACGAATGTTGGTCTTCACGATTTCGTGATGTGATCAATGATCATCGTATAAAGACAGCGCTACTTGTAGACCCCCAGTCTGTTGATCCAAGGTTTAGGGTTTGGGGTTTAGGGTTTTGAGTTTAGGCTTTAGAGTTGAAGGCCTAACTAGGGTTTAGGGACTGGGGTTTACAATTTCCCTAGGGTTGTGGGTCTAGGATATGTAGAGCTTAGGGCTTCGAGGTTTGGGTTTTCATTGTTTCATGCCTCCTCGGCTCAAGCAGCGTTGTAGTGCTCACTGTCTTCCCGCGTCCGGCTTCTTAGCAAGCTGGCAGGCCATTCTCCAGGGTATGTATCCTCGAGAAAGGAACCCTAACAAGGCCCCCGTATTATAAGGAACCCTGAAAGGAACCCTTTATACATAGGACCCCTTGGCATCTACCGGCTTGTATCTGCATAAACAGTATACGCCAGGGTTCTCTGTATAAGCACCCCATCCCCTCAATGCATGCAGAGCCATGCAAGACAAGCTAGTCAAGCTTCTCATGGCTCAGAACCCTAGATCCCTAAACCCTAAACCCTAAACCCTAAACCCTAAACCCTAAACCCTAGATGAGACCCTAGGGCTCTATCTGGGAGGGTTTGGGGCTTACCGAGCTGAAAGTCTGCAGGGTTTTGTTTAGGGCAGTTTGGGGTTTAGAGTTTTGAAGATCATCCTAAGCCTTAAGGTTCTGAAGCTGAAAAGCCCGGAATTAGCATCCCAAGCCCCGACACCCACACACCCTGCTTTAAACGCCAACCCCCCCAAACCGGACTCCCGATAGGCCCTTTATCCCTTGTTGTGGTCTACTAGCCATTACCCCGAAAGGAGCCGTTTTTATTTCTCCAAATCCCGAACTCGATGCCTCCTCGAGGGTATCATGGCGGCCGCAGAGCATCCGCTGGTGCAGCAGGAAAAGGGGCCCCTAGCCTTAAGAGCTTCGTTTGCCTGCGTTGCATGGTGCTTACTGCTGTATTTAGAAAATTGTTTTGCATTTGTTGTTGGCTTTAGTAGGGTGCCGTGTCGCTGCGTCGATTTACATGAATGTTTAGTGCTTCAGCTTATGGGTATGCGGGTTCCAGGGTTTTCGCGTCTGCAGTTTGAACGGTTGCGGGTTCAGGGTTTGGCGGTTGCATGCATTTAGGGTAGTGGTGTTTCAGCTTTTGGTTTAGACTCCGGTGTAGTCGGAAAGATGCAATGATTAGCGGGTCTAGTGCGGAAGCCTGAACAACTACCCCAAAATCTGCTTTAGGGTTCCTCATTGTAATTATACGATGAGATATCACGAGCGCGCGATAAAGGCCCCTACAGCACGAATGAGACCCCTATGAAGTCCAAAAGGACCCTCAAAACCTCTCACCCCAGCAAAACAGAGCCACCACCCCACCACCAACACCATCACATCAGAACTGGACAGGACCTTAAATTCCCTAAACCCTCCCAGTGCCCTCCCGCATGGTATCCCTGAGGGATGGGTATGAAAGGGTAGTATAGAACGTAGGAGTAACCAATTCTCCCTAGTACTCCTCTACAGGTTCCCTGATATCCTCCCCCCCTCAGGCTTTCTAAAACCATCTAAAACCGAACTCCTAACCCCTTACTATGGAACCCGAAAGATCCCTCAGAGGAACCCTTCAACCATTCTCCCAAGATCCTATTTGACTCTTGTGTTTTCTTCACGGGGTGCATGCGTTGGTGCCGAGGCAACTCTCTGACAGTGACAGCGAAGGCGCCGGGCTGGTGCATCGTTGAGGTGTTCAGCGTGCAACATGAGATCGGGGTTTCGATAGCTAGAACATGGGAGTTTCCGAAAATTGGGGGTACCTTATTTGGGGTCCTTATAATAAGGATCCTACTATTTAGGGCACTATATTAGGGTCCCCTATTTTCGGAAACCCCCACACGGTTGTTGGATAAAACAGTGTAACTATATATAGTACGATGGGAACCCCAAGGAGTGGTGTTCAGGTTTCTGACCTCTATATATTATACCTGGGCGCCCATGAAGACAGAGGCTAGATGCCCGAAGAAGAAGGCATTGGCGGGTCCAGCCGGGTGGAGTTTAGGGTTTTGGGTTTGCGGCCGGTGCCTGCACAGATTCCCGGGTTATGGGTCCAGGGTTTAGGTGCAGGACCCCTAGATCTATGATTACATGTGGTGGTTCACTTCAGTTTTTTTGGGCCATGCTTCGAATAATTTCGGATTGAACATGTCAGTGCTTAAAGCCCCTAAACATCCCGTAAACCCTAATCTCGTAAACACGAAACCCTAAAACCCACACCCTTGAACATCACTAAACCCTAATCTCCTAAACCCTAAACCCTAAACCTAAAGACCCTCAAGGCGCTAAGAATTCAACCGCACGGAGTTTAACACAAGGGTCGGACGACTGAAGTCGTTTTAGTGTTTAGGATTTAGGGCATGCAGATGGGTAGTTTTTGTGATTTAGGGATCTTTTTTTTAGGCCCCAACATTTTACGGCCCCCCTGAAGAGACCCTAATTTACAGCATCATCCGTATTGCTGTGGCTGGATGGTCGCTATGGTGCTTCTGCCTTAGTAGTGGAATATAGCAGCCAAAACACTCTCAAATATCTGTAGCCCTAAACCCCTAAACCCCTAAACCCTAAGCCCTAAAGCCTTGGCGTTACTAGTCTTGGCGACTCCCGGGGAGAGGTGCCATGAGACTTGCGGCATTAAGGGAGTAAGGGATTTAGAGGTTTAAGGTGTAGAAATCTACGAGTTGAGGATAAAGTTTAGAGATCTACGAATTTAGGGGTTTCAGGCTTTTAGATCTAGGAATTTAGGGGGTTTAGTTGTCTAGCGATGTGTGCAGCGGTTTGGGGCCAAAGGCACCCAGGATTTGGAGATGTAGGGCTCATAGCAGTCCCGGAAGTTCGGGTTGCAGAAGACCCCCCAAAACATGCCAAAACCCTAAACCCTAAACCCTTAAACTTCAAACCCCTAAACCCCTAAANNCCCTAAATCCTACACCCTAACCCCTAAACCCTAACCCGCAAAACATCTGAACCCGAGACCCTGTGGCACCCTGAAGAACGAGAACCCTGCAATCCACAGCCGCAAGGGAGAGGTGAAGCCCCTAAACCCTAAACCCTAAACCCCAAACCCTGAACCCTAAACGCTAAACCCTAAACGCTAATCTAGGCGCCTGAATAGCTGAGGGTTTAGGGTCAAGGACCGCGGCATTTCTTGGCGCCTTGAGGGTCTTTAGGTTTGGGGTTTAGGGTTTCGGAGATTAGGGTTTAGGGGATGCTTAAGTTTTTAGGGGTTTGGGGTTTAGGGTTTAATTAGGGTTTGGGAGATGAGAGTTTCGGGATATTTAAAGGGTGTCGGGGTTTAGGGTTTAGAGAGATTCATCTGATCCCCCGAGCGCTTGCACGGTTCGGCTCCTGTTGAGTCAGGCGTGCTCTCCACGCTAGATTGGCCCAGGTGATTTGGCCAAGTACACAATCGCCAGAATGGTTGATCCCAACCCCAAACCCTAAACTAAACCCTAAACCCTAAACCCTAAACCCTAAACCCTAAACCCTAAACCCTAAACCCTAAACCCACCCTAAACCCCTAGCAGTGGGAGACAAACTCCCGGGTGCGGCATCGCGCCCTTCAGGCCCCTTTTGCCCCTCTGGTCAGAGAGCACTGTAGAAGAGGAGCTCTCAGCCCCTAAACCCTAAACTGCCTTAACGCTCCAAACACCTAAACCCTAAACCTCTGAACCCTAAACCCTAAACCCCTAACCCCTAAAGCCTAAACCCCTAAAAGACTCTAAACCCTAAAACCCAAGACCGCCTCAGATGGGGAGGACGACGAACCTTTACCGGACGAACTAGAGCCCGAACGGGGGCACCTGTGTGAGGTAGAAGGGGGAGGTCGATGGATGTTACCATTCTTAACTCTTAATCCCAATACAATACCTTTGGGGGTTTAGGGTTTAGTGTACTATAAATCCGTTCATTTTCTTTCCAATTTTCTCATATAGCTTTTTGTTGTTTTTCCCTGTTAGGGTTGGGGGTTTTTCTATTTTCGTATTCTTATCTTAGCACTGTGCTTGCCAGGTCCACAGCTCAGGACCCTACGCCGGGCTGTAGCAGTGGTGCTCAGCAGCTTGGCAGAGTTTGGATACCCCCAACTCAGTCACGGTTTAGGGTTTACCCTGGCCCTAAACCCTAACCCTAATAGGGTCTAGGGTTTACGGTTTAGGGTTTCAGGTCGGTTGGGGGATCGAAACCCAACCTCCCCAAAACCCAACCTCCCCAAAACCCGACCTCCCCAAAACCCGAAGCCCTAAATTTCCGAAGAGTGTTCAAAGTTGGCTGTGCCGCTCGATCATACCTCTGTTCGGTGACCGGGCCTGAATCTGAATTTCGAGCCAAAAGAAATAGAGGCATACTTGCTGAGTTCGCATACTTTACACGCTTGGTGATCACATTTTTATAGAGCTGAATCCCTAAACGCAAAACCCTAAACCCTAAAAGTTCAAGTTTTGCGGGGCTCATGAAGTGAGCAGCTAAGGAACCACCCGAACTGGCAGCCGA